TGCAATTTTACTTTCTCAAAAAAACTCATTCTGTATGATTTATAAGCTTGTTTCCTCATGGGGACCTCAAAAATGTCCCCACAAGGTCAAAATTTACTGGTATTACTATACTTGTGGGGACATTTGGTCCCCATAACGTGATGAATACCAGGTGCACATGCGCGCGCGCGCACACACACACACACATGCCCAACACTCCGCATTTGAACAGTCAATAGCAAATATTTAAACTAATAACAAAACAGTAGCTGATTCTGAAGCGCCAGATTGTCATAGCAAAGTCAGAATTACCTCCTCTCCTAGGTTCATGAAACGGTCGTCCATAAAATGCATTGCTGTTCTGTTGTAAGTAATCTTAAAGATTCCTAAATGCATCTACTTTCGGAAGGCCAAATAAAGTGCTTTTGCTTTCGCCTAGAAACACACAGCGTCTCTCTGACATGGCTGCTTCAACACTAACTGCGGTTACTGAAACCACGCCTTCTTTCTTTGCGTGCTCATTTGGGCGGCATTATGCAAATATTTCCATATAGTGTGGTAGATATGTGGGGGCGTGTTAGAATGAGCCGTTTTAGGGGGGCGTGGCAGAGTCTTAACTTTGATAAAGAATATCTCTTTGGTTTTGAGACTTTAGTCTTTGGAACTTCAGGGATCTTATCTATGCACAATCAGCTTGTAACACTCCAAAGAGAAAGGAAAACTTGAAATCGCATCATATGACCCCTTTAATATAAGATATAATAATATATTAAGATACTAATGATATATTAAGATTAGTGGTCGACTGGCTGTTGTTCAAATATCCGCATCGGGTGATAATTTTTCCTGTTTGGCTGATGTGTTTGAGGCGGGACTAGGCATGGGCCGGTATGAGATTCTGACGGTATGATAAAAATATCACGGTATTGCGATTACAGCTCTAAAATATGTTATTCTATAACATGACCATTTTAATTTGTGGTGCTTCTAATTAAGTGATAAAAAGCTATTGCAAATGTGGTTCAAAATAAATATCACCACTACTCATCTTTGCACCAATAAAACGTAAAAACACTGTTTTTCTACCAAATTATATGTAATATCTAATTATTATATTAATATTTAACTTGCACTGGAAAGGTTTCCGTGACCTCTCGCGAGATCTCGGCAAAAAGTCTCACGATTTATTTCCAGAACATGATGCATGATGGGATACACTAAGCCTCGATTAGCGCTCCGGAGCGGTATTCGAGATAGTGTGGGTTTAGTGTGCGTTAAGGGGACTGCGCTCTGGCGTTTTTAAGATCTGGGACAGTCTTGCGCACTTACTTCCTGTCGCGCTCTCAAGTGGCCAAGACCGCAAGTGTGGGTATTTGGACAAGGGGTCACTGACTGCTCGCACCAACCGGAGGGGGAGGAGTCGTGTGACTCGTTATGCTCTTCGCTGCACACAACTGAGGGAGTCCTGCACTTTCCGTCTTTGACGACACGTAAAAAAACTGCTCATACCGCAGGAACAGTATAACGAAAAATTTTAGTGGTTTTGAAACCGTGACGTGTCCAAACCGCGGTATACCTTCAAACCGGTTATCGTCCCATGCCTAGGCGGGACCTTTATTTTGGTGGTGCTGAGAACGTCAGCGCCTGCGCACACAGCGCTCACATTCTCTTTCTTCATTGTTTGCTGTCGCTGCATCATCAGAATCACGTGACTGCAAACAAGATATATGTGGCAGTCTAGGGGTGGGCGATATGACCAAAATCTTATTTCACTGTATAGGAAATTTTATTTGACGATAATATGTTAGGATATTCCGGACTGTTTTCAAAAGGAATTGCAAATTATATTTTCTCGATGTCCAATTTGTTGAATTTTACCCATTTTCAGTGTTTGAAAACAAAATGTTTGTCACTTTGTGTACAGCTGATACTTATTACATTTAAATGGCAATGTCTGAAGAATGTGTTGTTGAAACTTGAATTGTAGCTTTCCCTCTATCAAAACAATAGAACAAAAATGTCCTGAAATGGTCAAGTTGAGGCACATTACCTTGCTCTCAGTAGTCTATTCATAAGGTTCTATATTTGTATCCGATTCAGGGATATTTGAAATATGGGATTTTATTCATTAAGATTAAGTATTAAACTTTCTTTTTCTTTTTTTTATTGTTATAACATGTGAAGCGGAATCTAAAACCATATTAAGATATTTAAAACTTCATGAGTTACAGGGATGCAGACTTTGGGGAAAAAATTAAATTTTTTGCACTATGACAAGTGTGTTCTATGCAATTGTCTTGATGGAGAAAAACAAGATACATTTCTACTCTATTATTTGATCTTCAGACATTGTTCTTTAAATACAAAAAGGATCAGCTTAATGCAAAGTGACCATTTGGTTTTCAATAATTTAAAATGGGTAAAATTCAACAAATTGGACATTGTGTCACTTTGGGCTCCCCATATCTCTGGGATTGAACAATATAGGGCCTTAAAAATGAAGATTACAAATGAAAAGTTTATTGAGAACCAGAATTTAAAATGATATTAAGATATTTTTAATACTTCTTGAGTTACAGACTGACTTTGGGGAAAAAATTAATTTTTTGTGTTCTATGCAATTGTCTTGATGGAGAAAAACAAGATACATTTCTACTCTCTATTATTTGTTCTTCAGACATTGTTCTTTAAATACAAAAAGGATCAGCTTAATGCAAAGTGACCATTTGGTTTTCAATAATTTAAAATGGGTAAAATTCAACAAATTGGACATTGTGTCACTTTGGGCTCCCCATATCTCTGGGATTGAACAATATAGGGCCTTAAAAATGAAGATTACAAATGAAAAGTTTATTGAGAACCAGAATTTAAAATGATATTAAGATATTTTTAATACTTCTTGAGTTACAGACTTGCACACTTTGGAAAAAGAATATTTATGGCACTCAGACATGTATGTTCTATGCAGTTGTTTTATTAGAGAGAAACCAGATACATTTCTAGTTTCAAAGTTATTTATTCTTCAGACATTCCCCTTTAAATATAATAAATATCAGCTGTATACAAAGTGACCAACATTTGTTTTCGACCTCTAAAAATAGGTAATATTAAACAATCTGGAGTCATGGAGCCGCATTGAGATCCCCATGTCTCTAGGATTGAACCACATAGGGCCTTGAAAATAATGATTCCAAAAGAAAAGTGTGTTAAGCACCAGAATCTAAAATCACATTCAGAAATCTTTAATACTTCTTCAGTTACAGGCATGCAAACTTTGGAAAAAGAATACTATGGCACTCGGACAGGTCTGGACTAGTTTTAACATTATTTGTTCTCCAGACCTTCCCCTTTAAAAGAAAAAAAAAAAGTATTAGCTGAATGCAAAGTGACCCACATTTGGTTTTTGACCACAATTTACTTCTGGAGCCATATTTAGATCCCAATATCTCTGGAACTGAACCATATAAGACCTTAAAAATGAAGATGCCAAAAGGAACGTTTGTTGAGACCCAAAGTCTAAAAGGGCATTAATATATCTTTAATACTTCTTGAGTTACAGCCATGCAAACTTTGGAGAAAAAAAACTTGAAAAGTGCTTTTTCACATTTTTCAGTGGTCACCACTGGCATATACTGCAACAAAGATTGCAAAAGTCAACAGATTTTACTAATAGACATATCAATCTCTGTGTAAAAATATAATGATGCTGCAATCTTTCTAAAGTCATTTTTACCCTCCTTTAATTTGGCTCCGAATCTCAGGTGAAAATTGCCATTTTGACCACCCTCTAAAAAATAGTGGGTTATTCAGTAAATATACATCCATGACATTTAATATTTTGGCTTTGATCACTATACATGTTTATCTTTCTTCAGAAAAAAATATTGACAAAATCAAAAATTTTAGCCAGAGGAGACATAAGGAGACATGTGTGAGTGACTTTATTGTGCCAAAAAGCCAAGTTTACCTTTGTTAGCGCTGGTGAGAATGTGACCTTTTACTGCTCTCAACACTCCTTTAGCTCTACTGATTTGTCTCTGACTGTGTGTGTGTGTGTGTGTGTAACAGCTCAGGTTTCGGTCCTGTAAATGTATCCTCTATTGCGTAAAGTGCTTTCATTCCCGTCTCCTTGGTTGAATCTAATCGTTCCAGAATTAATGGAGTTCTGTCCATTTGTACGGATGTTGGTTTAAGCCATTGCAGCACTTCAAAAACACAAAACCCAGCTATGTTCAACTGCAGGATTGTGTAACAGGATGAACTACTGTGGTAACCTGAACCAAATGAAAGGCATTATTGGAAATGTGCCCATTAATTTAATTCATAATGGCATGGGTGTGTATCTGTGCTGTTTCTTCACAGCTCCATCTTGTTCACTGGAACTCTGACAAGTACAGTTTGTTTGAGGAGGCTGTTATTGAGGATAATGGACTAGCTGTTATTGCAGTCTTTCTGAAGGTACTGATATAATTATTATCAAACATCTTTAAGCTTAGTAGACTTTGAAAAAACAAATAAAATTTACATTTTAACATTACATTTGCTATTACATAGATTGGAAAGAGACACGAGGGTCTGCAGAAACTGGTGGATGCCTTGCCTGCAGTCAGGCACAAGGTAAGGCATCAAACATTATGTTTTGTACACACTGAGCTTCGGCATTGTTGTGAGTTCTAAACTGAGATTAAGAACCTCAGAGTATGATGCTTTGGAAACAGTGGGATCAGGGATAAACTTGTTGCATAAATTTTTTTTTTACAATTTCACAGTGTGTAATATCCTCATCCTTTTCCACCCAGGATAGCGTGGTAGAGTTCACCAAGTTCGACCCTGCATGTCTCCTCCCGGAAAACATTGATGACTATTGGACATACGCAGGTTCTCTGACCACTCCTCCTCTTACTGAGGCGGTGACATGGATTGTGATGAAACAGCACATTGAAGTCAGTCATGATCAGGTAGGAGGCTGATATGTTTGGGGAATGTAAGACAGGAAATTAGGGGGTATTTTTTCCCCTCACAGCAAATTTAAAGGTACAAGTGGTCAACTGATTGTATTAGAATAGCTTAGCTAGAAAAACATAATCTTATGCAAATTAAAGTAATTGTATCATATAAATGACTTAAGTGTGTGCTGTGGTGCAGATTTAATACTTAATAATATTATTAATTTATATTTATTTTTTTCCCTGTATTCAACTGACCTACAGTATAGGCCATTTGATTGGTTCTAAAACGGGGACAATGTCACGTTTTCTTCTTGTTTCGGTTGGCTTTCACAAGACAACATTTTAAAGCACCAGGTGTGAAATCGACCTAAAATGGTCATAATTTAGTTCTTCTTAAAATCACTATTAGATTGTAAAATGATCCCAAAACAATCCATTGTAAAATGTTTTGCAAAAACTTAAGATCACACTGAAGTGATCAAGGATGTGTAATAAGCTGCTAATTCCTAACAGTGGTAGTTTATAAGACATGCAGAGCGGTAGTTTGATTGCATTTAATAGTCGTTAGTTTTCCTGGTGTTTAGGAATAATAATACATATTTTGCTTGACATCAAAAAAAGCTGTGGAAGTTCAGAACAAGTTGTTTTTTTTGTTTTTTTTTGGGGAGCTTACTTTCAATACTAAGAGAATGCTAAGAATTTTGAGTTCTGAATATATATGAACCTTTTAAATACAGCTGATGAAAGCCATAAATTTAGGCTTTGAGACACCCCTCAAACTGGCTATTTTAACTCTGCTGGGAGTCTGTTTGTTATTCCAACTTCATGTTCCATTGCTCCATGGTAACCTGGGAAATGGAACGGAAAAGCTCATCTGGCTGACTGCTGACATCAGTTTTCTCTGTTCTCTCCATTTTTACATACAATTTTCCTTTTATTCTTTGCTCTCATTCTAAATACATTTATTTGAATGTGTTCCCTATTTTTACATATTCTCTATCATTCTTTTTTGGCTTTTTCTCAGTTGGCAGTGTTTCGAAGCTTGCTGTTCACATCGGCAGAGGAGCAGTTGCAGAGAAGTATGGTCAACAACTTCCGCGTTCAGCAGGCTTTGAAGGGACAGACTGTCCGCTCTTCTTTTACCCCCTTCCTCCAAGATGCTCCCCCAATGATGTAGCAACAAAACTCAGTGACCTAATTCACATCCTAACCTCCAAAACAAGCACAGACTCATCAGTCACTTTTTATTACGGAGAGCTGATGAAGGTCTTAACTGGATTTTGTCAAATGTTTTCACCATTTCCAACCAGGCATTTTGGTATAGATTGGAGAGATTCTATTGAAAGGGATTAACAAAGATATAGTTTAGTTATTGAAGGGCCTGTTTACCCTCTGACAAAAGGTTCATTCATTGCCATTTCGCTGTTTGTACAAGTATTGAAAATAATGCTAGAATTCAGGTAATTCTAATTTCAGTATGAAACACATTTCCTCTCAATATAGTGGCAAAGGGTGTCCACGTTTGTGGACAAACAGCTCTCTCTTGTGGATAACTGACAGAATGTAAATGGGGGGGAATTCAGTAGTTTTAGTTTAGTGGTACACTTACCTTGTTTGCTGCGAGGGAATTTATTGTATGCATGAAACTGCACAATGCCTTTCATTTTTGATTGGTTTTTAGATGTTAAATAATTTTACGTAATTTCAGTTGAGAGAAAATTTGAAATATTTTAAGACTACATTTGAGTATTGCAGTATAAATAAGACTAGAAATATAGTCTTTTTGAAAGGTGCACTAGACATTTAGAGGTGTGAAAGGAAGAGTAGATTAATGCGCACAACTGTTTAGTGAAGATGCATTACTGTACTTGCTGTGTACATCAGATTTGTATAGAATAGGTTATCATCCCTAGTGCCTTTTTCCATTGTAATCGGCTATCTGATCAACTGCGCAAGTGGTTGGTCATAATTGCCTTCTGGCAAAACATGTGCCTCCAGTACAAATCTCTTACAGTTTTTGTTGTTCTCATCCTTTAAGCTCATGATTGTAATTGTTCATCTGTGGATATTTAAAGTGTATTTAGTGTTAGTGATTTAAAAAAATAATAACAGAGAAACTGTGTTTAGTCTCTATGTAAGAATGTCTTGTAAAATGTATTTGGGAGCATCTGGATGTTTCTTTCCACTCGTCATGAAATACCTTTCAGAGAGGGACCTCCATTTTCGATCATGTGTGCTCTATTTAATTTCTCCACTAGAGGCGTACATGAGACTAGACACAATGTAGAAATGAGACCTACAGTAAGACCAATTGATTGTGTTATAGTTCAATCTTGGTGCATTCCGTTTTCCTTTAAACATGCTGTAAATGGCAATAAGAATAGAACCGTTAAAATGAGACACTAAGATTGTTTGAAACGTCCAGGACCTCTGGTATGTATCTGCAACTGAATTGTGCATTTACATCATGGCGAGGTTTTTGCATTGATGATAATATTTAGTAGATGGTTGAGAAGTAACGTCAATGTTCAGTTGTTCCAGGGAGGTGCAGAAACAGCAGAGGTTCAACATGCAGCTTTATAACTGCCAAGAGGCGCTGGTCTCTTTGTGATGGCTGAATAACAATGTTCTTGTATAAACTGTCCCTAAAGTGGCCTCTCGTTTGAATGGGCCACCTGCATTTTCTCCCTATTGGGTCCATGGATGAAATTCAGAGTGATACAAACTAGAGTGGAAAGCTGGATTTGCACTGTACAAACAATAGGTTACAGGGAGACCAGGATCCATTCCCTACACATGCCCAAGTCTTTAGCTACTCTCAGAGTAGTGAGCATTCCTTCACATCAGGAGGCCCTGGAACAATGTTTTCTCATTGAAGCAGAGTTGAGTAGCATGTGAAAACACCTTTTGTTGTTTGAATATAAATTATGCAGTGGATGAATTATAGTTTGAGGTTTTGTGACATTCTGACTCTTTTTGCTGTAATGGGTTGGCATGAGGGACATGGATTTGTATTTTTTTTTTTTTTCCCCTCCACACACTTTTGGTAGGATTTGCCTTTTTGTTATTTTTAAGTAGCTTAAGGCCTTCCACTTTTAAAGGAAATCAACAATCACCGTTTAACACGAAAACTAGTTTTGTTTTATAGGCAGCCCCTTCCTTCACTTATCTAAAGTCATTTTCATAACTGTCACTTATGCTGCCTATTATAAATTTTATGATGCAAATGTATGCAAAACTTTCATATAATTTCTGTTGTATTGTGTGTAAATGTTGTATTTTTTCATGTTTCATGGGATATTGTAGGAAACTGGTCTTTTTTTTTTTTTTTTTACATTCAACCATTTTTGGTTGATTTAGTTTTGTTTTACTTTGGGGTGGACACAAGCATGTGCCCTAGGGATTTAAGCAGGAAAAGGGTGGTGCCGGAGGTTTATGGAGGCCCCATCCCAGCAAGTGTTGTTTCACCAGGTGCTGGTTAGGTCCGGATCAGCTGCACTAAAAAGTGCATGTTTTGGCGGACTTAGCAAAGGTGGAGCCTACAGACCCAGAGGTGAACATCAACAACTGCACAATGTAACTACTCATTCATGCTGTCTGACATGTGTATTAACATTTTAATGTGTAAAAAATATAAATAAAAATAAAACTATCTTGGATAGGTGACTGTGAAATCACTTTTACTTTATATTTAAATCCTTAATTGAAATTGAATGTAACATTAATTATGTAGTTATATAATATAACATTATATAGTTATATGTATTATATTTTAAGTGCAGAATTGCACTGTGAAGTGAAAGGTTAAAAAAAAACTTTAGGGGATGACTCTCTTTTTTAATTTATTTTTTTTATTTTATTGCAAACGTTGACCGGTACCTATTTTAGCACCGTTAACTTGTCAAAGATGTTTTGAGTACTAATTTTTGATAACCATGGCTGATATCTATTGCTCTTCTCTAAGAGTAAAGAAGATTCCAGGCAATAAACCTGAAACAGTGGAGAGCAAGTTAAGTAGGCGCTAGACAGCACCTTAAAAGACAAGAGACAGAGAATAAGGCCAGGGTGTGGGTGTTTGGAAGGGCTGGGGAACTTGGATTGAGTTTTGTCTCAAACTTGGTTCAAAAAGATTCCGTTCCATGTTTGTTGTTCTTGGCTGCACGAGTTATAAAAATGGGATGAGACACTGGGTTTTTGCGTATCCCAAACACACCATGGTTTCCCATCATTGTGTGAGAGCATTTGGGAAAATGCTCTTTGAGCTCAACAGGAAAAACAAACTAGGTGAACTGATTAAAAGCAGATCAAGACTTCTTTGAAAAACCCTGGAGATGGTCGCAGTTGTGAATGATCAATAAAAAGTTATGCAACTGTGGAGTATCTCAAGGGATGGTGGACGCTGTTGTCTTCTGAGGTCTCTTTTAGCTGCATCTGACTGATAATCAGCTTTACTAATTGAATAGAAGTCAGATGAAAGCTGCTAATATCAGGCTCCTTCCTCTACTATGGTTTTGTTCTAGAATGTTTTTTCAGGTTATTTTTAGACAACAAAAACTCCATTGAATCCTATTTGCTTTCTATAAACAGGAACCCATGGCTTAAAGATGTTTCTCAGAACTCCAATCCAGTTGCTTTCCTCTTTAAATCAAACAATTGTTAGTTGAATTGGAAAAAAAATGTACATCTAAAAATGTACATTAAATCTTGGCCAAAACCTGACAGGCCCTTCAAAGTTTCACTTACATAGGAAAGCTGATTGTTACCGACTTTTAATGATAACCAGCCTTTGTGGTGCAAGGGAACTGAGACACCCACACCCCTCTCTCCTGTTGAGAAAGAAAACTGAACTCTTAAATATCAGGGCAAAACACAGCAGCAACAACATGACTTATGAAATAAAAAGACACCTGCTGTCTCATTTATCTTTAAGATGAGCAAACATACACCATAAATACAAAGTAAAAAATGTGTAAATGAGAGCACAAGTGCAAAGCGAATGCAAGTGGCAGCAACACATTTTTTATAAAACATGCCTTGATAATAACCTTTAAATTAAACGCAACCCTAGGTCATGAAGTTCGTAAGTATTAGTACAACACACTCCCCCCCCCCTGCAGATTATATTCTCCAGGTCTTCAGATATCGATACCTTCTAGGCATGTGACATGTAAGTCTTTCTCTTTGAAACACAAAAGGTTTTGGATGATTTAAGTTGTTGTTTGTAAAACATGCCTTGATAATAACCTTTAAATTAAACGCAACCCTAGGTCATGAAGTTCGTAAGTATTAGTACAACACACTTCCCCCCCCTGCAGATTATATTCTCCAGGTCTTCAGAGATTGATACCTTCTAGGCATGTGACATGTAAGTCTTTCTCTTTGAAACAAAAGGTTTTGGATGAAATTTAAGTTGTTGTTTTGTTTAATTTGAGAACCAATATCTTTAAAGCCCACAGGGAATGTGACATTTGTGATGTTTCAAGGGCCTTTACCTGAAAACAGGAAATTAGCAGGGACAACTTTGTTATTTTTAATATGTTTCTTCAGACATTTTGATCAAAGGAATTTGAGTCTAAAGAATTTTCAAGAGCTGAAATGACAAGTTATGGTAATTCACGTCTAGCCAAGGATTATAGTCTGAATATTTAAAATAGAAAATTTAAGACTAATTAGAAAAACTCATCATCTAGAGGTTGTTTCCCACAGTTCATGGTGGAATGGTGAAACTGCAGGGGGTTTGTAAGATTGTGCTAGAAAAGCTAATGCCAAATTAAATAAAAAATGTGTAAAATTAAATCATCAACCAAAATATTCCAACTGACTGTATAGCTACTTGTATTTTAGCAAATAATGTAAAAAATTTGTAAAAAAAACACTAAACTATTAAACAATTAATAATAAATAAACCTATTTAAGCCTTTTAGAATATTTTAGTAATAATTTACCATATTGATGCCATATAAGCATGTAGCCCTACACTGTAAAAATCTGTGAAATTTACAGTAAAAATGGCAGCTGTCGTTGCCAGAACTTTTTCGAAAAAATGGAGGCAACATTTTAGGAACAGTTAAAAAAAACATATTTCATTAAGCAGCGTAAGCCATATGATGAATGAAAGTTCATCACAATTTGCTTTTCCACAAGCTGAGGAAAATATGTACGGTGGCCGAGAGAGCTCAACGCGCTGCAACTTCAGAAAACACATGCAAATAGAAAAAGCACCAGCAAATTAAGAAAACATCTTCACAAACGTGCTGCAAATACTCACAACACAAACGCAAATACAGACCACAACCGGGAGGACCCCAACGCCAAAATTACCCCAACAAAACGAAAATGAACCTTGTTTTTTTGTTGTTGTATTGATTACCATTTGTATAACCACAGTTGTACAAATACCATTGTTAAGTAAATCTATGGTTAATTTGTGGTTACCATTGTTTAACTTGTAACCATTTTTTGTTTTTATTTATTTTTTACATAATAAATGTATTTATTAATTAATTAATTTTAATAGTAAAACCATATGGTTAATTTTTGTAAGGGAAGTTGTAAAGTAAGTTAGCCAGCTTACATGCTTTCACAGTTACAGTAATTGTGTATTTCGTCAGCTTATTTAGGCTAATAATTTAAAAAAAAAAAAAAGAAGCAAAGGAATCGTATGATCAGGATGTTAAAATAAACAAAAATCACACCTTTCAGTGCAAACGTTGATAAATATGTCCCAGCCATGTTCGTCACTTTGCGGTTCCCTTCAACATTTCTGATGTGGTCTGTACCTATTTGCAGCGCGTTTCTTTATTTGGTTGTGTTGTGAGCATTTGCGGCGCGTTTCTGTTTTTGCAGCGCATTTTTTTATTTGGTTGTGTTGTGAGCACTTGCATTTGCAGCGCGTTTCTTTATTTGGTTGTGTTGTGAGCATTTGCAGCATGTTTCTGTTTTTGCAGCGCATTTCTTTATTTGGTTGTGTTGTGAGCATTTGCTTTTTATTTATTTTTTTATTTTTTATTTATTGTGTGTTGTCAAATTGATGAAGATGTTTTCTTAATTTGGAGGTGTTTTTCTATTTGCAGCGCGTTGAGCTTTCTCGGTCACCGTACTTATGGCTTCAACCGAAACTGAACAATTAGGAAAAGCCCTGATCCAAAGTAGCCTATACAATTTGCTCAACCTGCTGGACCGCTCAGTAACAGGGATTTCTTTCAGGAAGGGAGACTCTAGAGGGCGATATTAACCTCAAATATAACGCTTAATGATGACGCGGAGGAAAGAGGCAGGCCGAGTCAGGAGATGCTTTTGTGTGCCTCTACACCGTTGACACACTTCAGAAACCACGTTTCTGTGAGTCAGAGCGGACTCTACGGTACCACCGTGTATCAGCCAAGCCCAATCCGAGGGAGCTGAACGGGTAATTTTCACACGTAATAGAGAAAAACAAAGCGTCTGGCTTTGTTTGACAAGAGGAAGCAATGTCAGGGTTGAAGAAACGGAGTTCAAATGCATCTGCGGACCGGGATGAAGACGACAAGCAGGTGACGGAGAAGATGCTCTCCAGTAGAGGTGGGAATGGCAACATGAGCCGACCAGGAGACGGCACGCCTGAAAGCCCGACCGCAGATATTACCTCTGCGGATGGAGAAGAGACAGTAGAGCTGAAAAGAACTATTACTCTTGTGAACGGCGTGGCCATTATTGTAGGCACCATTATTGGCTCTGGCATCTTCGTTACACCGACGGGAGTGGTGAAAGAAGCCGGTTCAGTCGGGTTGTCGCTGGTCGTGTGGACTGTATGCGGGGTCTTCTCCACCATAGGCGCTCTGTGCTATGCCGAACTGGGGACCACCATCACCAAATCTGGGGGTGACTACGCTTACATCCTTGAAGTTTACGGCTCCCTACCTGCGTTTCTGAAACTCTGGATCGAGCTTCTCATCATCAGGCCGTCCTCGCAGTATATTGTCGCCTATGTTTTCGCTACCTACCTCCTGAAGCCCATCTTTCCCTTCTGTCCTGTCCCCGAGACGGGGGCTAAGCTGGTAGCCTGCCTGTGTATCTGTGAGTAACCTGTTACCTACCTCGTTAGATCACATAAAAGTTCGTTTTACCCATTTATTTCACAAACAATACAACAGAGGGCTTAAGTCACTCTTTTTTCAAATCTTCTCAGCTGAATGGTTCTGACGTTAGAATTTACCTCAGCTGTCATTTCGCGTACCGTTCGCGCGCTTCATCTTCTCAGCGTCTCAAGTCTTCTCATGTACAACATATTTCTCTCATAATTCGGCCAGATTGTACATATAAACGATTTTAACTACATTTGTGACAGAAATGTGTAATTACAGAAAGAAACGCCATGTGTCGACACTGATACCCGCGTGTGTAGCCTATAGGAGGAACTCAGTGTGTTGAAAAGGTGCTGAAAATGTCATCATCTAAGTGTGGGAGGAGGTGGCACGCGCTGCTACATCACACTGGGGGGCTTTATGCAAATTAATTGCATTGTTAGTATTAATTATACACAAATTTAGCGACGCTTTGATATTAATTATATTTTGATCATAAATAAGTATTTTGAGAAAATTCAAATCAGTTTTTTTCCCCAGCATGGAAATAAAAAAGCAGAGTAATGAAGTTCATGTTAGATTTTTTAAGTTAACCAATGCTAGTAACTTAAAACATCTTGCATGAACTTCATAATTTATCCACTTTGCTCCTCCAGAAACTCCACTTAAATATATCTTCATTCAATAACATACACGTCTAAACCAAGATTATTCATTGTTAATGATCAGGCTATTAACTGTTCTCTTTTTTATAGTTTGCTATAAATTGTGTGTGTTTCTTGCAGTAAGAGTACCAAAATGAGCCATGCAGCGCTACAATCACAGATCTTTGACATGCATGCTCATGGCAATACGTTGAGGTTGTGATTTACCATAGCAGCCATGCAAGCAATGCAGCCCTCCCGCAGGTTTAAACCAGTCAGGATTAGAAGAATTAGCTCAAGCCCTAATTACCAATTGGCCAACAAATTAAAACCCATATTTCTCTTTCTTTCCTTGTCTTTTTCTCTGTCTCCTCTTTCTTTCTCTCCTCCTTTTTTCCCATTTAGGCCAGATGAATGCTTGATTGGGGTACAGGAATGCATATTCTTTGTGACTGTGAGGGAGCGAATGAACACAGCACCCACTATCCGTTATAATCTCGCCCTGTTACTGGCTTGTCTAATCCTTCCATAAGAACTCACATGACCAGACAGAAAGGGAGGTAAAGATGACTATGGCCATAAGTTTAAGCTGAGCAACGACAGGTTACAGGATTTACAACACTAATACCAACATTTACATCCATAAAAACATTCAGACTTCAGCCCAAGTGCTCAGTTTTATGGTTTGGTACCTCATAGACAGTATTTGGGTCTGTTGGCATAGCAGCTGGCCACTGTTCCCCTGACCTATTTTCTCATGTGTTTTAAGGTCATGATTGAAAAGGGACTTCACGATTGGTTCGTTGCATGAAACTATGCTGCGTATCCATGGGAGAGGCCCCCTGAGTGGGACCATACTCCTGCTGTAAGGGAGCTTGGGGAGGAACCTCTGTCTCATGATGCCTGGTCTATTAAGAATGAGAACTGCAATGCCCGACAGAGTAATACAACAGTGTGTGCATGTGTGAGGGGACCCAGGCCCTACTGTCCTACCCTATACAGACACCCTTTTGTACTTTAGGGGCACACAAAGTCCGTCAGGCTTTGCCTCTCTGTTTGGTGCCCAGACCGATTTACAGCTAATGCTGCTTTGAAGTATTCGTTAGTTAATCACATTTAATAGGGAGCATGGAGGCAGGGGCTGGAGGCTGAGGTGGTAGGAGCTCATGTAAATCCCACACAGCTGAACAACTGAAGTTTTTTTTTTTGTTTTGTTTTTTTACTTAAAATTTGAAAAAAAAAAAAAGTATAGCAGACATGGAGCTCTTTAAAAATTAAATAAATAAATACATTTTTATTCACAATTTATTCACAAAAAAATTGCAATTAGATTTGTTTCCCACAAGGCTATCCACCCCGACAAAGCCAATCAGTCTTACTCAGTATATTGTGTGACATAGCCATTCAGTCAGTAGAATTTCTGTTAATCGCATTGAAACAGAGTTAAACAGACACAAAATTGCAAAGTAACTGGATTGAATAAGTAAGGCAAGACATCTGCATATGATTCAAGTAATAATTATCTGCAGATCTACCCTGTAATACAATCAAACCCCATTAGGCAGATTATTTTGTGCTGTAGTCTATAATCATCCTAATCATTCCTAATTATTTGAACCTACATGTGGTGCTGACATTTTCAAAATCAGACAGATAGTTCTTACACCAAAGTTTATTTGATGTCTGTTTTTCCATTCAACCCCACTTTTTTCATTTAAAAAAGTAGCATGCCAGATCATGCTGCCACGTGTATAGCTGAAATGTAAACAGCGCTTTGTGGTTGACGCCTCCTGAGTTAAAGTGTGGATGACAAATTCTAGCCTAATTAGTTTACCAAGTAGTATACCAAGTAACTTCCTCTGAGCCTCTGTTGTGAAAGACAAAAAATAAATACCTGTGGTTCTTTTTCTCCATCCATCTCTCCCCATAGTGTTGTTGACCGCTGTCAACTGCTACAGCGTGAAGGCCGCCACAAGGGTTCAAGATGCCTTTGCTGCTGCTAAGCTACTCGCCCTGGGCCTCATTATCATTATTGGCTTTGTGGAGATCGGCAAAGGTGGGTAACACTCAAATACTTCTAACATGTACACTAACAGTCAGTCAGATAACTAAACAAGTGCTGAAGAATGGATGGAAGACGGATGGTGTTTTCTTATTATATTATATATTATTAAAAAATAAGTTGGACCATGTAACACAGCAACCACATGAACCCATACATAGTATAAGTTTGTAAATTCGGGCAGAGGGTCTGTATGTATGTTTTCTGGTATGCATAAAGATTTGTATGGTCTCAGGTAGGCCTTGGCTTCAGTGCTTGTTTATTTTTGCTATGGATACAATGTACCGTTCCAACAATTTTCATTACAATGTCGCTTTGCGAGCTTTTAGCTGGATGAAAAGTGTCTGCAAGCTATACAAAGTTTGAGACCAAGTTCAGTTCAACATCAGCCTCATGCAAAAATGACTCTTTTATTGATAGGTAACAAACTGGCGTCCCATTACTTTATTAAAGCAATGAAGGCACAGTTAATAGATAAACTATTAGTTAACATAAAATTAATTAGTTTTAAAAACATCAAATATCCTACCTCGATGATTGTGGACTTCTTGACTGTATCCAACTATTAAAATCACACATCATTAAATTTATTTTATTATTAATTTCACAATTAAAATCATGCAAAATAACATCATTTTGAAGATTGTGTTATATTTCTGAGCCATTCGAACCTCATACTAAGAAAAATGATGGAAGAAATCATTTTCTTTTATTTATATTAAATATGTAGTTATCATTAACTAACAACCAACAATTGATCCCAAACTAGCTAGTTTTTTTTTTTCAAACTTTTTCAATTTATATTTAATTTTAATTTATATAATTTAGATTTTTATATTCAATGTACTGTTTAGTTCTAGAAAATAATGAAATCTCACTGTAATATATAAATCAAATATTTAAAAAATGTATCCGCAGTCTTGGTTCATGCCATGTTGATATATTTGTACTCCATCTCTTTTTGTACTCAGGTTCAGGCCTCATAATGGCAACATCTAATTGCAGTTGTATAGTTGTGGACCGGTCAGTTTAGCAGAGAATTGTAGACCTCCTGAATGTGCAGCCAGAACAGCAGCTCTGATTGTTTGGTACTGAGACAATAAAGCAGTGACGGCAATAGTCTAGAGAAAGAGTGAGCAAACAAAAAGAGAGCAATTCAAAGATTTGTAGTACAAGCTGGCAGACCTTTCCTCCAGACTTGACATGAACTACAGTAGTTTGTTTAAATAGTCACAGTCACCAACTGGAATTATCATCAGTGGTTTCACAGAGAGTAACATTTACATTTATGCATGTAGCCGATGAGATTTTGGGTGCACTGTTCTTTAATAACTTTTTGGGTTTGGTTTCTCATTAGCTTACTGGTTTAACCTCACAAATTCAGAAAGGAAAAAGAGGATTTCACAGTCTGAGATTAAGATTAACAAAGGTCCATTCACTTACTGCACAAACAAAGGCCTGAAATTGGTATCAATTACTCAATTGTGAGTCAGTGAAACTGACAGTTTAATGCGAATGGATTATTAGCTCTTCTTTTCATCTTTTTTCTCCAATCCACCCACTCTCACTGCCCACAGCAGTGGACGTGTAGCGACAGACAGCAAGATAGTTTATGAAAGAAAGGAAAATGGGAAGGAGACGCCGTGCTGCTTGTTGATTATTGAATATACACTCTTAAAAATAAAGGTGCTTAAAAGGTTCTTCACAGCGATGCCATAGAAGAACCATTTTTGGTTTCACAAAGAACCATTCAGTCAAAGGTTCTTTAAAGAACCATCTCTTTCTTACCTTTTTATAATCTGAAGAACCTTATTTCGCCACAAAGAACCTTTTATGAAACAGAAAGGTTCTTCAGATGTTAAAGGTTCTTTATAGAACCATTTAGACAAAAAGGTTCTTCTATGGCATCGTGAAGCACCTTTATTTTTAAGAGTGTAGGAGTCAGAACTGTAGGGCACGGCTCTTTTAATTGGCCTGCCTCTCCCAAAGTTTGCCAAGACTGCCAGATTTCGGTCTTGCCTTTGGGTGTGGATTTTTTTGTGAGGTTAAGAGAGGTGCTTCATCAGGATACTTCTAAAGCAACATTGTTCGAAAATTCACTTGAACTATACCGTTCAAAAGTTTGTGGTCGGTAAAAAAATGTTCATGTTTTTGAAAGAAATTATTCTTTCAAAAGAAATTAATAGGAATATTAGTTCAATTTAATATTATTGTTTTCTTTTTTAATATATTTTAAATATATTTTAAAATGTTATTTATAGGGCTGCCCCTATAAATCTGCTGTCGATGCAACTTTTTTTTGTAAATGAAAAAGTTATTCCATTCATATCAACAAATTTTCCATCAATATGAAGATGCAGCATCTATTGTGTAACCCATATTTTCTCACTGAGACGCCCACGACTCAGAAACTCAGGGCTTAAAGAGTTGCCCAATCGTAATTACGACATTGTGGAGGCATTCATGTGCATTCAACTCGTCAATATGATCTTTCTGATATGACTTTCTGATAACACAGTCTATTTAAAGCAGTTGTGAGTTGAGTTGATTCTCCCCTCGTGAGGTGGACTCCTATGTTGAGTCAGTGTTTCAAATCAGTCATTTATGACTTTCCATTTTAGTTAGAATGCCTCGGTTGTTGTCTGCGTTGACTGAAGACTGCAAGGCAGCTGGCTATCTGTCGGGTGTTTTTGTGTGCGAGCTAGATTACCAAATGCAAAGTGACTGTGAGAAAAATGAGGCCAGATAATGATGACTGTAATTATGACACCCTCACTGTTCTGAGAGATGTCTGTGGAAATGTCCTTAGATATGTATATGGCTAAACTGACAAGTATCCTATTTAACATATGAAGTCTCGGTTTTGAAAGAGCTGTTTAATTCACAGCATCTTCCTCTGTGACATTTCCTCTCTCTACGTCATTCTCTGTGCACAAAGCTTCTGTTTGACTGCGTAATAGACTTATCTCACTTTAGATGTTCAGAAAAGGTCTCAGTGTGTATCTTAGTGCTTGTGTTTGTTTTGAGAAAGCCACTTGTGCGTAATTCTGTTACATTCAGCCGATGCTAAAACGTAGCATGCAACACGACACCTCGTGGCTTATCAACCATCTTGAACTCTTCTGGGACTGGAGTTCCACCCACACAGAGAAAGTGAGACTCTGGCTGTTTTTTTGACTCCACCCACTTATTAGCATAATCATTGGTGGGAAGTTTTTTTATGGGTCTTTTTGCCACTGTGTTGATAATTATATTTGAGAGCTGACAAGAAATATAAGGGAAAAAACGAAGGAGAAACAGAAACAAGAAATGATGCAAGCCCAATAACACAATAAACAGGCACATATATCTTTTGGAAGAGTAAATATTTGATGCAAATAGGTCATAATGGAAACACAACACAAAACCGGTGGCACTACTACACTAGGTTGTGTAACACTTCCTTCATTTTGATTTAATAATAACTTATTTTTTGTCTGTATTATTTGTTTTAAAGGAAGTGAATGATATAAAATGATATGCTGATTTGCTGCTCAAGAAACATTTCTTATTATTATCAGTGCTGCTTATTATTTTTTTGTAAAACCTGCAATACATTTTTTTTTTTTTCAAAAATTTTTGATGAACAAAAATTTCAAAAGAACTGCATTTATTTGAAATATAACTATTTTTTGAAACATAAATGTATTTTCTGTCACTTTTGATCAGCTTATAATAAATATACAATAGATTATTAAATAATAAATTAAAAAATAAAAGAAATAGGGGAAATTCTTGACCAAGGCCAATAAAAAAAGCATTTATTACTTTGTATTTTACAACAAAATGTTATGATTGAACTATAAGAATCACGTATTCCAAAGCATCATTTTAACATTCTTTTGTTTGGTACTAGAATATGAAAATACACTTTTACAGTATGTCAGTGTAAATGTCCATTTGACCAGATGCCCTAGTTTTCCTCTCATTAAGTTGTTCAGATTTATGTGACAATGGTTGCACATCTGATGCTGTACGGGACACTCAGCTCACTGAACTTACCTTCACACACTGCATTGTTGTCTATTGTGTTTTTGAGATTGCGTGTTGTTTTTTTGGAACTTTTCAGATTGAATCTAGGCTAAGCTGAGATCTGCTGTCGAAGCGTTTCTCTCAGACAGAGATCGGGCTCCTCTGGGTTGGCGTAGTTCTGTGAGGCTTAGGTCTGAGCCTGTAATACTCAAGTTTTTACAAAGAGTTTATACAGGTTTTCAGTCTCGTTCTGCGCCTGACTGCCTCAGTCATACAGTCACACACACACACACACTTACCTCACCAGCCGTGTCATGTGACCAGGCGGCGTTGGCTTGCCTTGGGCTGCAGTCATTCTTACACAGAGGACATGCTCACAAATCCCCTAGGTAGGGTTCATGGAGGTGGAGTCCAACTCAACTCAAGCCTAAATTACTTTAGCCTCAATTCGTTGCCACAGGACAATTCATTTGATAATACTTATATGTTAACGTCAGCTAATGCAATAGCTAACATGAAAAAAAAACAATAAGCAATACTTTCAGCATTTATTAATATGGGTAATGTTCATTTCTGCACATACCAATATATTTGTATTATTTTCAATCGTTTTTTTTATTTGATAAAGAATACAGAAATATTATTACAATTTAAAATAACTGTTTTCTATTTTAATATATTTTAAAATGTCATTTATTCCTGTGATGCAAAGCTAAATTTTCAGCAGCCATTTCTTTAGCTATCAGTATCGCATGATCCTTCAGAAATCATTCTATTATGATGATTTGCTGCTCAACATTTCTTATAATTACAGTTAATATTTTTGTGTGACATTTTAAAATTTCTGTCGTTTTTGATCAATTTAATGTATCCTGAAATATAAATATTCTTTAAAAAAACAAAAAAAAACAGGCTTACTGACCATGAACAGTAGTGTATGTATATTTGAGGAATGGCAACACATCTTAAATGTATCATATAATTCCCAGTTTCCATAGTTACCCATTACTCTACCATGGGGAAAACAAAGAGATATGTTCTATTAAATGTGCGTTTTTAGATTTAAGAAGGTTGTGCTTATCATGTGCTTTACTTTCTGATCGTTAAGGTCATTCAACCTTAAAAAAAATTGCAATTTAGGATATTAAATCAGTTGATGCTATTGTGCTAAAGAGCTGCTCAGGAATGAAAGAACAAACGATCACACACAAAAAAAAAAGAGTAACAAAGAAAGCATACGGGAGACTACTTTGTATCAAACCCATATAGTGATTTTCACAAATTATTTTGAGAGAAGTCAAGTTGCAAGTCACTTTTTTATGATTTAGTCTCAAATTCTTCTGTTCTGCATATCAATTTCTTCAAACCTGTTAAACTAGTTTTTTTCTCTACACCTGCACATGTTTGTTGCTAAACTACAACACTTGTTGGACTGCTGGGCCAATCCTTTAAAGTGGCAGAGTTTCCTTACCATAAATTAAACTCTTACGGCATCTTCTGTTAGGAAAGTCCTTGTCGCTCTGCAGCCCCCGCAGGCTTTGGAGAGATGGATGTACGTAGAAGTTTGATCTCCCCAGGCTTTCTCACGGGAGAGATTGAGAACAGGCCCCAGTCTAAAACAACACTATCATCTTTTGACCCAGTGGGAAATTCACGAGCTTCGGGTGTTCAAGAATGTGCAGACCTTACATTTTCTCTTTAGTTCTTGTGTTCCCATCCCTCTTGCTTTTCAGATGTGACATCTGTGGCCTTGTCCCTCATGCACTGACCTACTGCCCACAATCAGCCTTGAAAATGTCAGCAGGATGATTTTGAAAACTCATTATTATTTTGACATTATTATTATTATTATGGTATTATGATAGCAGGAAACAGTCGTCCACCTTGAAACTTTTCCATGCAAGTTTGTTTGTTCCTCTCATGGGATAATATTGTGGGAATTACAGAGTGCTCCCTGGATATTATGACTTGTTTTATTACGTAATGTTCCAGATAGTTTGCAACAGCATTGTAATCTCATGTTTCACGCTGATTGTTCCTGTTTCAGGTGATACTACTGAGCTTCTGCCTGCAAATTCATTTAGAGGAAGCAATACAGACTTTGGCAACATCGGATTGGCTCTTTACAGTGGGCTGTTTGCTTATGGAGGATGGTAAGACCACAGAACCAGATTTGGGTGGAACTAGGTAAAAACAGGAAGAATTAGACTTTGACCTTTAGGAAATCATAAGTAAAACGTAATTATACACCATGTGAACCAAGCTATCTTTTCCATGTAAATCAATTTTTTTTATCTTAAACAGCCATGACTACAACAACATACAAGATATTTTGGTCGTTTTGCTCTTTTTGTGAAATGTAATTGGTCCAAAATCCCATTCCACATAACAATATAGTTGTTTTGATAACACATTTACAATTACACACATATTCCCTTATTAGAATTCAAACTATTCGTCGGTCATTCTGTAAATGGAATTTTCTTACATATTATTATAGTTTCTTTACTCATTTTCTTTATTTTTGGTTTTCAGCATTGAACTTATAGAACAGGATGTGCTTAAATGTTTTAATTTTCTTGTTTACGTTTTCTTTTTTAACAGGAATTATTTGAATTTTGTCACAGAGGAGATGATTGAGCCATTCAAGTAAGTCATACTTACTTTATTTTTCTATTAAAAATATTTTAAATAAAAATTTTAAAAATAAATAAATATTTTTCCTAAGTAAAAATATTGTACCCCTAAAGATATGAATATAACTCTTTTTAATATGTTGAATATTTTGAAAAACAAAAGTCTTATAAAAAGAAGAATATAGTTTAGAATCTAGAAGAATCTAAATGTGTGTATATATATATATATATATATATATATATATTCAGTGGAGTGATCAAAAGTTATATTCATTTCTTCAGGGGTAAAAAAACAAACAAAAAAATAAATATTCAAGATATATATTAAATATTTTTCATTTATTAAATGTATTTTTAGGCACTTCCTCTCACATTTCTGAAAAATAACTGAGCACAAAAATAACTTCATATATTTAACTTTTATAAATGAAAAAGCATAGTGAAGTTTTTGATTTGGGTTGGATTATGTAATAGTGTATGTGCCGACGTGTTACAGAAATCTGCCTCGGGCCATCATCATCTCACTCCCCATTGTGACCGTTGTCTACGTGCTGACAAACCTGGCCTACTTCACCACACTCAGTCCGGAGCAAATGCTCACATCTGAGGCTGTTGCTGTGGTAAGTGTCGCCACGTAGATACATTCTATTCCATATTTAGCTCAGTTACTTTTATGTTTTCTTTTTATTAATGTTTATTAAAGTTACATAATAATTGTTTTTTTAGGACTTTGGAAACTACCACTTAGGACCAATGGCTTGGATAGTCCCTGTGTTTGTGGGCCTGTCATGCTTTGGCTCTGTGAATGGCTCTCTGTTTACTTCTTCTAGGTAATGCACACAAACACTAACACACACTTGTTATAAATATCCTGTGTTGGAAGAGGTTGCATTAATCAGATCACTTTACTTTAAGTTGTTTATTCGGTTAATCTGTCTGGTTAGTCTTGTTCTAAAGTCACCCTGCAGGCTTTTCCACTGTAAACACTGGTCGGGTTATCTCGAAATAGATCTGTTTATATCGCTGTTCTGTATCAGACCTAATGGACAAAACTAGGGATGCACCAATCGGTGAGCTCCTGTACTCGTACTTGTTAAAATGCCCCGATACCAAACGCTGAGGATAGCAAAATAAAGTAAATTGACAAATTATACCCAAAAATTCTTCATACATTGGACTACCAGTAAAACTGATACAAATTTGTGACCAAAAATTATTCAGACCGAGTCTGGGGAAGAGAGAGAGAGAGCGCGCAATTCTGTTGTATGATCGTTGATGTTCACTCACTTAGCACACGCATCATTTGGATTAAAACTAAACCAGTGGTATCGGTGCATCCCTAGACAAAATGGTCTCTTGTGTTTCTTGCTCTTTCAGGCTGTTCTTCGTGGGCTCCCGAGAAGGTCATCTTCCCAGTTTGTTGTCGATGATCCACCCTGACCTGCTGACCCCTCTGCCTTCACTTATTTTTACTGTAGGTGTCCAAAACCAGTCTCATCCCTCATCAGTTTAATCTGTTCCAATTTTTGAGCAAATTGTTCTTTTGAGTGATTTTTTTTTCAATTAATCAGTTTAACCAGTTCTAATTTTTTTTCAGTAGATAATTATTTTAAATCATGTTCTTGTCAATGAATCAGTTTATCCAGTTTTGATCTGTGGATGAATCATTCTTTTGAGTTGGCTCTTTTAAGTAAATCTTTATAAACAGTTCTAATTTTTAACCAAATTATTCTCAAAGTCAGTTTTGTTCAATGAATCCGTTTAACTAGTTCTAATTTTTAATTTTTAAAAGTCATTGTTTTGAGTCCGTTTTTTTAAATGAATCTGTTTAACAGGTCCAATTTTTAAGCAAATCATTTTTTTGAGTCAGTTCTTTTTAATGAATCAGTCAAACTGATTCACAAATCTGAAATATTTATTAGCGAATTAGTTTTATAATGTTTTCAAAATCCTTATTCAATAATCACAGATGACTGGAAAAGTCTTGGAAATTCATCAGAAAAGGTGTGAATCTATAATAATGTCCAACTTTTGAGTTAATCACACTTTTGAATGGATTATTTTCAATTAATTGGTTGAACTGATTCACAGATCAAAATGATTCGGTCTAAACCTTTTCTTTTGTTTTTCCCCACAGTGCATCATGACTCTCCTCTACGCTTTCTCCAACGACATTTTCTCTGTCATCAACTTCTTCAGCTTCTTTAATTGGCTCTGCATCGCCATGGCGATCCTTGGCATGATGTGGTTACGCTACAAGAAACCTGAGTTGGAACGACCAATTAAGGTGAGCCAGGGGGCGGAGCTAGTGAGTGAACACAGATGGATTATGTGAGGGTGAACAAGATCATACTTTCAAATGCATGAGAGGTGACCTGCCATAATATATGTGTTCTCTGTCTGAAACCAGACATAGCCAGCAACAGAACGGTAACACACAGGCCCTTTTGTGCACTTCTCTCACATTCATCCACATTCAGTCTCTCATTGCACTCAGTGGCCTCCACTCATGGACACAGAGGGATGTTCATCAAACGAGGTTTGGAGGCACTGGCGTGAAAGAGGCCATTTGCTTATTGCTCATAATCTTTCTCTCATTCTAGATCTCATTAGTGACAGTCCCTTGTTTGTTTCATTCACTGTACTTAGTACTGCCTGTAATGTTGGCTTTCTCTACCTTTATTATATTAATATAGTATTAAAAGTGTTTTTTTATATTTATATATTATATATAAATTATATTTTACATATAATTCATAGTAAATAGTGTTTTTTTTAGAAATTAATTATGCACTACCATTCAATAGTTTTATTTAGCAAGGATGCATTAAATTGCTCAAAACTGAAAGAGACATCATAATTATTGATCATAATGTGGAAGTGAAAATCATAATGTGGAAGTGAAATTAGCAATGAGCTAGTCTTGATCAGAGCAAGCTTGAGGAGAGTATCAGGCCATCTGTCAAGTAAATGAAACCATTCTGCAAAACCAGATCAGTCTGGTTATCACAAAGAACAAGAAGTTACCCGGGGAACTGAGATGAAGTTGTAAGGAGAAAAAAGGCAGGAGAAGGGTATAAAAAGAATAGCTTTGAACCATTCTTAGAGCTCTGTGAAGTCCATTGTATACAAATAGAGAAAACACAACCCAAACATCAAAGATCAGGATGTCCTACCAAAATGAGCAGCCAGAGAATAATGGTGATTGTCAGAGCGAGTAACACTGAGCTCAACACTTCTGCAGTGTATGTCTTTCATAAGTGAAATAAATGTTCTTTAATAAACATACTTTATACTTTCAGACTGTACTTTAAATAGACTTTTGATCACATTCTCAAAGCTGTCCCACCTCTCTGTCCACTAGGTCAATATTCTGCTGCCTATTGCCTTCGTATTGGCCTGCCTGTTCCTCATCGTGGTGTCCATCTGGAAGACCCCTGTGGAGTGTGCTATAGGATTTGGAATCATCGCCACAGGAGTTCCTGTGTACTTCTTCGGCGTTTGGTGGCAGAACAAGCCAAAATGGCTCTTGCAGATCATCTGTGAGTGTCTCTCCTCTTGTTTGATTCACAACATTGAAAAAGAGATGGTTCTAGCCAGTTAAAATGTTCCTGAGGTTTTGATGTCTAAGTTGTTCAAATCAAAGTTCATGAGTGTTTATTCGACAACACTGCTTTTTAAGACAACATGAGATATTCGGTATGCATTTAACCTCCGTAATTTGACAGATTTAAAGAGTTATATTATATTTGGTGGAAAATAATGTAGGATGGGGCTTGTTTTTATCCAATGAGATTTAATTTGAATTGTAAATGTGGGCTATTATATTGGCTTTTTTTTTTTTTAGGTCTCACATGGTATTTAACTAAAAAAAAATGTTTCGGATGAAGTGAAAATTTTTGAACAATTACATGCACTAATGAATCCTACCCAGAATTAATACAATTAATAAAAAAAAAATTTTTGTTGGGGTTGAAAAGATTTCTTTAATGTTTTTGAAAAAAAAAAATCTTATTCTCACCAAGGCAGCATTTATTTATCATCATTTAGAAAAAAAACAGTAATCTTGTAAAATATTATACAACCAAAATACTTGTTTTCTATTTTAATATATTTTAAAATGTAATTTATTCCTGTGATGGCAAAACTGAATTTTCAGCATGATTACTCCAGTCTTCAGTGTCACATGATCCTTCACAAATCATTCTAAAATGCAGATTTGCTGCTCAAAAAACATTTCTTATTATCAATGTTAAAAAAAGTTGTGCTGCATAACATTTTTGTCGAAACCATGATACATTTTTCTTTCTTAGATGAATCAAAATTAAAAAACAGCATTTATTTAAAATAGAAACATATTTAATGACGCTTTTGGTCAATTTAAAGGTGCTGTATGTAATTTTTGACTCTACCAAAGCATAACAACACCATAATACATTTGCAGATATTTAGGAAACATGCTAAGTTTACATACTTGTTTCTCCGAAAAACAACGCTAAAGCCAGTTATTCTATTTTGAAAATGTGCATTCTGTGTCAGAATGTATGCTTTTGTTTTGGTCTGTGTGATTCCGCCCACTGCCAGTTTAACCAATAGTATTTTGACACCCTGGGTGCCATGCAAGCCAGCAAACGAACTGGGTCAGAGATCACAGATTCTACCCGACCTAAAATGCTTTCGGAATCTATCTAAAAACCTCTAAGACCAGAGACATATTAAAATGAGGATTAATCATCTCACCAATTTACAGTGTAAGGCTCGTCGCCTTCCATTGTAAATTGCGCTCATTCCCGTTGCGTGAGCGTGAGCGTTGCGTCTGAGGAGGAGGGGACGGGAGAAACAATATTTTGAATTTGGACTACGGTACCCATTTCAACCGCTAGCTGTCAATATTACATTCTACACCTTTAATGCATCCCTGCCGAATTATTATATATAATATTGTTTATTTTTCCTGTCTAGTCTCTGTCACAGCAACATTCCAGAAGCTGATGGAAGTGGTACCTCAGGAGTCCTGAAGACCAAACAGAGCGACAGATGCCTCTTCCACGCGCAAAGTCTCCTCGTACCCAGACCCCCTTTACTGTATTCCTCAACTGCCTCATTTCTCCTTACGTGAGCCAGAAAAATGTCTTATCCTGCTGACACTGGCAAAATCTATATGAATTACCACGTAAGAAACCAGACAACATCAGGTCACAGGAGCGTTTCAGTTGAGATGTAGATTTTGCCAGTCCTTCCTCGATCAAATGTAATATACTGTATACATTTCAGTCTTTATGTTTGACTCGTAAGTTTTCAATCAGGACTTTCGATTTATTTGATATATATTTAAAACCACCGGAGATATGTGTCATATAACTTGGTCATCCCTTTATTTAGGGCTTTGTTTGTGTGATTTTTAGCTTCCTGTATCATGTTTTCAGCTTTTATTTCAGAATGTACGTGAAGAAAAGTGAGTACCAAGCTGCCCTCGTACTTGTGGAGAGGCGCCATTGTCTCTCTCAGCAAACAGAACCGTGATTCCCACCTGACCGACAAATTTGCATCTTGGATCACAGAATGTCCTATTATGCATGTCTTTTTCTATAGCAGATATGACCAGTTTGCTGTGCCTTGTCTGTTAGTGCAGAATTGTATTGTCTTTTGAGATCGACTCGATATGACTTTATACTTTGACAGATTTATTTTTAATAGCTTAATGCAGTTATTTTTAATTGTTATTAAGAATTTAAAGGAATGTCCTTTTTTTGGTTATGGTCCTCTAATCGGATGTATCCAATTTTTTTTATATTACAGAAGGTATAGACGTACAGTATTCATAAATTAATCAGAATACCTATAGCCTTGCTGCTTACCTCAGTAAACATACTGTACATTGCATTCATAGACATTTTATGCCTAATTCTGATTTAATGAAGCACAAAAGATGAGGCGCTGTTTTCCTGTTTAAGTACATTTTTAATGTTAAGTACCTCTTTTCTGCATCTGTCATGCAAATATATGTGAAGTACTTAGCACTGGACCATCTTTTTTTATTTCGTTCCCCTTGTATTTGGCTATTATTTAAACAAAGCAAAGTTGCTTGGTAGTTACAAACTTTTAAAAGAAAGTTATGTCAGTTGTTAAAGATTGTCGTCATCATTTAAAACAGTTTGTTGCTGTTGTACTATGTATGGTGTCTTTGTATTGTATTGTCAAGATATCGTTAAAAATCCCCTTACCGAAGAGATTTTAGTGCCTCATCAGTTCGCGAACTGAAAAAAAAAAACTGAATGAATTTGCTGTAAAATACGATATCATCATTGTGTTTCAGTTTTAGGTGGCTGCACTTGGACGCAGTGTTTTTGGGTAATCCTACTTTCGGTTAAATTAATATTTGTTCCTATACTGGACCAAAATCAGCTGTATGTGTGTGTGTGAAAATGCACATTTTCCGTTAAAAAGTGGTGAGGGAAACACTAGGGGTGTTTTGGGTGATGGAGGGGATTGTATTAGGACTAAATGGAAGTTGTCCTTTGGTTATTATGATTACAGAAACATTTCCAAGGCTTGGATAGAAGGACTCTTTAGATCTGAGATGCTTTTATTCAGTGCTGTTATGGTTATAGTGGGTGTTTAGATAATAAAGTTTTGTATTATTTAGAGTATTACAGCAGTATGACTAACACTCTAGCCAACAAGATCATTTTATCTCATTTAAATAGTTTTGTAGAAGTGTAATTATATGTATTTATTTATTATTTGTAGAGTCATTGTTAGTGAGTTAGTGCTCTAATAATTTTTTACAGGGCATTTATCTAAAGAAATGCTGAAAATAAATTGTTACTGATATTTTTCCTTCTTTCCTCAGAATATGATTTTTTTATATACAGTGGGTACGGAAAGTATTCAGACCCCCTTACATTTTTCACTCTTTGTTATATTGCAGCCATTTGCTAAAATCATTTAAGTTAATTTTTTTTCCTCATTAATGTACACACAGCACCCCATATTGACAGAAATTAATCTGTAAATGTGTTTTGTAACTAATGGCTTGGCCTAGTCTCTATTGGTGCCCATTAATATAAAAATAACTGCAGATGAGCTGAGTCTGCCTGCGCTGACATCTGCCTCATGAAAACAGATGCCATCACAACATTTTACTACTTTTTTGACATATGATGAATTATATTTGATCACCGCAGATCTGTTGGGTTTTTTTTTTTTTAAATATACTTTAAAAAAATACAAAATGTTAATGATATGACTTACTCTTATGTGTATGTTTAAATTCTTTGAATAAAAATGGTTCACTAAACAGTTTCTTCAAACTTTAAACTTGGTTTCTTTAAACACCATATTTTTGCCTTTACAAACTGACATGTATAATTCAACTTTAGACCCAACAGCCATCTTTGTGTCACGCAGGCATGCAAACCCCTTTACCCGAGGGCAGACTCAGTCTTTCATCTGTTTATTTTGAAGCTCATTTGAGAGAAGTTTTCTTGTGTGTGATCTGTAGATGCCCTCTGATCAGAACTACACTGCTTATAGGACTCTGTGAACTGTTGTAAGTATTCTGTTGTCAACCATCTGTCCTGTTTTCTCTGTGATGTACAGTGAAATACAACTAGGAAGAGATCTTGTTGCGCAGTTTCTTGTAATGGTTATACGTCTACTGTACAAAAACTTTTTTTTTTAGAAATTAAACAATTTATGCTCTGATGTGATTTTTACTTTGCCGCAGGACATTGAGTATTCAGAGAAATAAAACATGAATGCATTCAAAACTTGAGCGCTTGTTTGTTTTTGCAGCACTGATATAGCAGCATAAAATGAAGATACTTAATAATTAATAAATTGCTTAGTAATACATTTCTTGGTTAATAATAAGTTAATAAATAAACTCATCAAAACAACTTCTATAAAATGCAATTAAAATACAATATTTAAAATGATTTATAATGTATTTATAGCAAAATTATAATTAATTAGGCTAGTTAAAAATGATCAACATACGAAATGTAAAATCCTAAAATATTATTTTATATTATTATGCAAGGAAAATTCCACAGATATCAGGATCTTTAATTGAGCCTGGATGGCAGGGTTCCCTCAAGAAAAGTTTCTCTCGTGAATTCCTGTTGCTCGTGACTAAAGTTGGACTCAAAAGCCATTTTTCTCTAGGATATCCGTAATAGCTCTGGTCTCGCATCAGCTGCTGTGGCCTAAGGAAAGCTCTCATGACATGTGAGTTGCGAGGAAATGATTAGCCAGTGTCATTTGACTTCCTCTTTTATTTGTTATATTACCAAAATGAGTGTTATTTGGTTAAAAAGCAGATGAACCGCTTCAGTGATAAAGCGTGAAGAGCACTAATTCAGCTATTTAAAGATACAATAAGAAATTTCTGCAGCGTTACTGGTTCCTTGAATATTGAAAAACAATAAACAAACTTAAACCACATACACGAAAAAGTGTAATAAGAGTGTAATAAGACTACATACGTATTAATTAATTCTAAGCAATAAATAAACAATACATAATCCAGACTGCGTAGATGCATAGCTCAAAGTCTCCTCGTTAAGTATCTTCAACGTTATTAAAGACCAGGTCACTTTGAACAAAAGTGAAAGTGAAAAAGTGAAAGTGATGTGACATGTGGCCAAGTATGGTGACCCATACTTGGAATTAGTGCTCTGCATTTAACCCATCCAAAGTGCACACACACAGCAGTGAACACACACACACCGTGAACACACACCTGGAGCAGTGGGCAGCCATTTTTGCTGCGGCGCCTGGGGATTCTATTAATGTGGAAAGAATGTTTGTTCATAACTTTGAGAAAACCTTGCCAGAATCCCGTGAACGTTGTCTGAGAACCTTTTCTATATGCAAATTGTATGAAATTATTAGTCCGTGAGTAATCTAGTACTCCAGTGGTAATCTAGTGGTCATGTGATTTCAACATAACGGAAACCCACTTTATATAGAATAAAATATGAGTTTATTTTAAAAAGGGTTTTCAAAGGTTCAATTAATTTATTTGGCTACATTTTTGTGGAAAGTACAGAATTTAACTTTTAAGTAAATATTCTGCTATTTCATTTTAGAAAATGGGCTAAAAAACATCTCAGTGATGTCTTGACATTACAAACTTAATTGTGAATTGTTGTGCCAAAGCTTGAAGTGACTACATATCAGCGGACTTGTTAAGTTTCAAGGCACTAAACTCGAGTTACGCTAACATGCATGACTAATATCTCTTCGAGTAGCTGACACACTAAACTACTCAGCAGAGAATCATCATACTTTATTGTTAAATGTAACACTCTCATGACATGTGAGTTGCGAGGAAATGATTAGCCAGTGTCATTTGACTTCCTCTTTTATTTGTTATATTACCAAAATGAGTGTTATTTGGTTAAAAAGCAGATGAACCGCTTCAGTGATAAAGCGTGAAGAGCACTAATTCAGCTATTTAAAGATACAATAAGACATTTCTGCAGTTACTGGTTCCTTGCATATTGAAAAACAATAAACAAACTAAAACCACATACACGAAAAAGTGTAATAAGAGTGTAATAAGACTACATACGTATTAATTAATTCTAAGCAATAAATAAACAATACATAATCCAGACTGCGTAGATGCATAGCTCAAAGTCTCCTCGTTAAGTATCTTCAACGTTATTAAAGACCAGGTCACTTTGAACAAAAGTGAAAGTGAAAAAGTGAAAGTGATGTGACATGTGGCCAAGTATGGTGACCCATACTTGGAATTAGTGCTCTGCATTTAACCCATCCAAAGTGCACACACACAGCAGTGAACACACACACACCGTGAACACACACCTGGAGCAGTGGGCAGCCATTTTTGCTGCGGCGCCTGGGGATTCTATTAATGTGGAAAGAATGTTTGTTCATAACTTTGAGAAAACCTTGCCAGAATCCCGTGAACGTTGTCTGAGAACCTTTTCTATATGCAAATTGTATGAAATTATTAGTCCGTGAGTAATCTAGTACTCCAGTGGTAATCTAGTGGTCATGTGATTTCAACATAACGGAAACCCACTTTATATAGAATAAAATATGAGTTTATTTTAAAAAGGGTTTTCAAAGGTTCAATTAATTTATTTGGCTACATTTTTGTGGAAAGTACAGAATTTAACTTTTAAGTAAATATTCTGCTATTTCATTTTAGAAAATGGGCTAAAAAACATCTCAGTGATGTCTTGACATTACAAACTTAATTGTGAATTGTTGTGCCAAAGCTTGAAGTGACTACATATCAGCGGACTTGTTAAGTTTCAAGGCACTAAACTCGAGTTAAGCTAACATGCATGACTAATATCTCTTCGAGTAGCTGACACACTAAACTACTCAGCAGAGAATCATCATACTTTATTGTTAAATGTAACATGTTGACACTGACTGACCTCCTCCTGACTGCAGGCCTCATGTGAAAAGACAGTGTGTCGTCAAAAACAGACTAGCACCTCTAGTCGACTGACTGCTGTGATGCACTGCAGGCCTGAGAAATGTCTTTCTCAGAATGCAAGAGAAAGGTAAAGGTTGAGCATTTCTGTGTTCTTCATTTATGGGTCACAATGGTTTAGTGCTTTACACATGGTCTGAGCCATGCACGTCAGTCTGCCTGAGGCAAAGAAGAGGTTTGAGTTCCTAAAATAAAATCAAGTACTGCCTGTTTGGCAGAATGTTGCAAGCCAATCACAGTAAAATGAACGATGTCAGACAACATGGGGACAGAAAACTTTTTAAAAGAGTTTAATTAAAAACTCTGAGTTTATCGTCGGTACGATTTTTTATATTTTAAATTAAGTTTCTCACCAAGGCTGCATTTATTTTATCAAAAATATGGTAAAAACAGTAATATTATGAAATAATATTACAATTTAAAATAATTGTTTTCTATTGTAATATATTCTAAAATGTAATTAATGTCTGTGATGCAAAGCTGAATTTTCAGCAGGCTTTACTCAGTCTTCAGTGTCACATGATCCTTCAGAAATCATTTTGATATTATTTGCTGCTCAAGAAACATTTATTATTAATATTTTTGTGTAAACTGTTACAGTTTTTCAGAATGCAATGATGAGTAGAAAGTTCAAAAGAGCAGCATATAGTTGAAATAGAAGACCAAAACATCATAAATAAATATAATATACTAATACACTTTCATAGGCTGCTGGAAGGTATCTGTATATGTTTATTTTAGTAAGCATTGTATGTAATGTATTTGTCTCTCATATGTTGTTGTGTGTGTGATTTTCTATTTGTGAAAACTTTATTTGTGAAAAAGTTCTTGTACCAAAATAAATAAATAAATAAATAATAAATCTTAAACCTTAAATTCCCACCTACATTGTGACCTTATATTAAATTAATAGTTTTCTGATATAAGGTATGTTGCTGTGTGTGTGTGTGTGTGTGTGTGTTTACCTGAGACAATTAATTCTGTTGCTTTAGTTTCTTGGCAACAGGCAAATCATCAGTAATTTCTCTCTGGTTCAAAGATAAAATCATTTGTTACCATCGTGTTCAATATTTTCATTATGGTGAATTTCCAATCTCATCTCATTTCTTTATATCACAGACATTCCTGTGGTCACGACTCTAATACAGAAGCCTTTTGTGCAGCTGATATCAGGATGGAGTGGCATGTCTGTTTTCTCCAGTAATGCAGGCTCATATGCACACAGAACCCCATGTTCTCCAAGATTTACATCACAGCAAACACGTGTCAAATCATAAGTGTTTCCTGACACCGAGACCAGAGGTTTTGAGCAGTGCAGATGGGGTCGATAAAGGGGCAATATTTGCTTTGTACCAAAAACAGGTGTGCTGCCTATGTAGGAAGGCACGAACAAAGGCTTCCAATGGAGTATGATTATTCTCTTGACCAAATTATTAGGCAACGTCACAAATGTCCTGAGTGTACATAGCCATCCCAGAATGCATTGTGTTAAACTCAGTGAAAAAGCCATTTAGAACCCGTTTAGAAAACAGATATTGTTGAGTATGAAAATATGCAATACCAAAAATATTGCTAAAGATTTCAGTCTTAAATGGAACATTGTAAGTTTGTAAATTTGTGTGTGCTATAGGCTCTAGTTACATGATTATGTGAAACTGTTTTGGTTTGCTTTTTTGAATTAAAAGACTTTATTTAATGTCTTTTTGAAATGAAATCTTTTATTTCAGAAAAGCAGAAACAAACAAACAGCATTACAATTGCTTCCAAAAGAGTTTCACATTAGCATTTTGCTAAGCTACATAGCAAACATTATGACTAACATTACAGGTAAAGGTTGAAAAACTATGACTGATATAACAGGTAAATAAAAAGGTTCAAAAGTAAAACTATACCAAAACGTACAGCATGTTTCTTAAAGGTGTCATCGGATGTTCACTTTACAAGTTGTTTGAACATAAATGTGTGTTGGAAGTGTGTGTACACATCCATCCTATAATGATAAAAATCCACTCAGTTTTTTTTTTTTAATCCCTATTTTAAAATCCCCTTTCTCAAATTTACTTTCGTTTTGAAGGGAATGCACCGACCCCGATCTGCCTAAATGCCTCTATGTTCGCCGCGATTCATTCGTGATCCAGCTTCATCAACAGAAGAAGTGAGTATAACGGTTTTTTATGAATCTTTGCAAATCACCTTTCCTAATAACTTGCTAGTTAGCCAGTTTCGCGGCAACAGTCTGCTCCATCACCCCACGGAAGAGAGGGGCGGGGTCAGCAGAGCTCATTAGTGGACTAGAATGGCTTGGTGATAACAGAGCTGATTTTGACAGGGTAAAAAAGGTGTTTTTTACACTACCATTGACCCCGATGACCCCTTTAAACCTATTGGAAATGTCTTTTATCAGTGATACTGCTTGCTGTGCACTCAAATGCAACAAACGAACCAGAGAAATCACTCCTGGCAGGCCTCGTGTCCTTCTGCACCACTTGTTTTTATGGAAAGTGCACAAGTTGAATTGAAAACAACAGGAGGCTGGGATTGGAAGGGGCAGAGAGGCAGAGGTCAGAAGTGTCAGAGTGAGACGTATGACTGGATGTCTGGAGGCAGTGAGGCTCACACACTCATGTGCGTACACACACACACACACACACACACACACACACACACACACACACACACACACACACACACACACACACACACACACACACACACAGAGAGAATTAGACAAATCTCTCTCTGAAAGTCACGATTTCACCTTCACAATGGCAGTCAGGTGACTGGAAGTAAGATTCGGGTGGTCATGTGCTTGGCAACACAGACTTTTATTTGTCCGTTATGTTAGAAACAGTTGAAAGGGACAATATGGCATATCTGCCAACCAAGGGCGTATGTTCTTTTTTTTTCATTTTTTTTTTTTTCAACATCGCTAGGGACTTTTTAAAATCAAAACACACAGATATGTTTCTACATACTAAAATTGCTTGTATGAGCTTTTTTAAAAAACATTTTGAAAGCCTGTTTCCATGCTCTCATTTTTACTTTGAAAGGCCTACTTTTTACACTTTTTATGTAAAGAAATATTGCATGGCAACATACAGTTTCTCTCACACACACGTAGTAATGGCTATTAATCAAAAGAAATGTCCATCTGATAAGGATATTGCCTCTGTCCCTGGGTGTTGACAGTGCAAGAATATATTTCTCAGTGATTCAGATCACTTTCATTTCCTCTGGTCTCCTGGACCGCCATGTAACATTGGAACATGTGCTCTATGTGTATTATGCCGTTGTTTTGTTTTGTTGGGTCAGTACATTATAATGCATGTGACTTTATATAAAATATTTGTTCATATACCACGTATTATTAGTATCGTAACTGTGCCATAACGGGAAGACGTATGCAAACCAAAGGCTTTTGCATGAGTTGCACGAGACATGCATGTTAATTAGTGTCAGTTCTGAACTTCTGACGCTGAGGAGGATGGGTGTCCGAGCTTCATGTAGGTCAGGGCCTGTGGGGGTGATCACTGATCATATGGCAAACGAATGTAAACTGTATCAGTTCACTCTGTTAACACATTCTACATTGTTCGGGGGAATGTAGAGGCAATTCATATTCATACATGATTTGACATTTATACATCCTTTTCTGGGTCAGCAATGTAAATAGCAATATATATATATATGCAGAGCACAAATATGACATAACGTGTCTTATGTCACTTTCTTCGTCACTTTCAATTATAATTTATGTAATAATATATAATAATGATATAAGTTGTCATGTTTTTGTATATTCAAGAGAACTATTGCCTAAGCCCCCTGCTGTTTGATGATGTGAAATTTTTATTGTTTTATTTGATTATTATTTAAATTAATTAGTTAATTAATATATTTATTATACCATTTCCATCTCTAGGAAAAAAACATATTAAGGAATTTAGGAATAAAGGAATTCAAACATATCTTATATTTACATATTTGTGAAGTTTTATCAGTGCAAACAAGTTTACAGCATCTTCCCCAGACCAACAAGTGGCGCTGTAGCGCAGCAGTGTTAAAAACAAACCATCGAGAAGCGTGTTGTTGGCGGAAGTACTTGATACGTCGGTCTTGTAGTTCATTTAAATCTCCATGTGGCTGTAATTGTCGCGTTTAAGTCAGTCTGTGTCTTTTGAAAATATCAAAATGGGTAAAAGGGGTAAAAAAGAAAATAAAGTGAAAGGAGCGGAGAAAACAGCAGCGAAAATGGAGAAAAAGGTGTCAAAAAGGTCGAAAAGAGAGGAGGTGAGTGAATTTGTTGCTTAAGATGCCACAATTAGCACTCTAAACAGTAAACCAACACAGATATAATAGCTTTATTCTGAATTGTATTGAATTAGGAGGATTTGGAGGCTTTAATTGCAGAATTTCAGTCCATGGACGCGAAAAAGACGCAGGTGGTGGAGACGTCGTGTCCCCCTCCGTCCCCCAGGTGCGCTTTCCTGTGTGCAGGTGTGAATCACGTGTCTGTAACCGTGACATTTGATTGACAGCTCGTTCTCTCCGCAGGTTGAACGCCTCTCTGTGTGCGCATCCCGAAAAAGACGAGCTGATTTTATTCGGAGGGGAATTTTTCAATGGGAAGAAAGTAGGTACCCATAAATGTGTAGCTATGTTTTGGAGCTGGTTTCTATCTGGTCTTAGATGATCATTAACTGTTCAATCAGCTGTCATGTTCCAAAAATCATCTTGACCATCTTAAGCCTGTTATGTTCCTGTTGTATTCCTCGTTTGTAAGTCGCTTTGGATAAAAGCGTCTGCTAAATGAATATGTAATATAAAAATGTAAGCTGGTATGACCATATGGGATGGTCTATCAGGTAATAACCAGCTTAAAGGGATAGTTCACCCAAAAATGAAAATTCTGTCATCATTTACTCACCCTCATGTCGTTCCAAACCTGTATAAGTTGAAGATTGCTGGTAATCAAACAGTTGGTGGTTGCCATTGACTTCCATAGTATTTTTTTTTTCTACTATGGAAGTCAATGGCAACCACCAACTGTTTGATTACCAGCAATCTTCAAAATATCTTCTTTTGTGTTCAACATATAGAAAGCAACTCATACAGGTTTGGAACGACATGAGGGTGAGTAAATGATGACAGAATTTTCATTTTTGGGTGAACTATCCCTTTAAACTAGAAACCAGCTACTTGTTTAAGTTGAATTTTCCAAAAGTGTTAATTTCCCTTTGAGTATTTTGCAAAGGTTTGAGAAAAACAGTGTAAAAATAAAATCAATAGATAATTTAATTCATTCTTTAAAATAAATAATAATAAATTAAATAATACAAAAATTAGTAGAACATAATAGAAACAAATATTTTCTAAATAATATTTTACACATAGTATTCATTTTTTTTTACAATTTAAATTGGGCCTTTAGACATTTTAGGAAGGGTGTCCCTTCCCAAAAAGCTTCGAATGAGTTAAATGTTTCCTTTCTTTCAGACCTTTCTGTACAATGAATTATTCTTCTACAACATTAAGAAGAACACCTGGGTAAAGGTGGAGATCCCAAACCCTCCTCCAAGACGCTGTGCTCAACAGGTACTCCGTTAACTTATCTAATTTGTAAGTTGAGCTTAAAATTTGAAATATTAAGAACTTAATATCAGATATTTAAAGTTTTTTTTTTGACAAAATTTGTGTTACATTGTGTGTTATATTGTATTTGGGTAATGCTGAACATGTTATTTCAGACTTGACCACCAGGGGTCACACTGTCCTAGCATATAAGTCACTTACCTTAAGCATATTTCTGTTGCTCTCTCTCCATCTCCCTGCAGGCAGTGGTAGTTCCCCAGGGTGGAGGGCAGGTGTGGATATTTGGGGGGGAGTTTGCGTCCCCTGACGGTGAGCAGTTCTATCACTATAAAGATCTGTGGGTGCTTCACCTGGGGACACGCACATGGGAGCAAATCAAGTGAGTACTGTTTTATATATGTGTATATTTATATGCATATATTTTTAAACCAAAAGCTTTTAAAATGTACTTGAAGACATGACAGCAAAATAGACAAAATATCATCAAAATAGTATAAAAAAAGTATACTTTGAATGATTACCATATTTATCTACTATAGTTTCAAAGATGCCATAATATATATCAAAATACCATAGATATTGCATGGGTATTTTGTACAGTTTTTCAGTGCATGCTATTCTAAAGAACAAGTGTTTGTTTTTGTAATATTTTATCATAATACCATAACACCACAATATATCATAATGTATAATAGCATAAAATTAACCTGTAATTATAGCCAATATCATTTTTTTTTTAAACCAAGGATAAATCAAGTGTCATCCACTTAATATGCTGTTTTCAGAAATTTATTTAATTACAGAAATCAAGTGAGTTTGTGAAAATAGCTTATATCCTACTTCCTGAAAAAGACCATAGTTAACTAAAACTAAAACCATGAAAATATATAAAAATATATATATATATATATTTACACACACACACACACACACACACGTTGTATTTAAAACGTTATGCTCTTTGAATATTTTGCTTTTGTGACGCATATGTTCTCTGCTTTACAGGGATTATATCTATTATAATGATATTCACGCTTTTAACCTGGACACGTTCACATGGAGCCGTCTCCAGCCCACAGGAACTGTCCCCTGTCCCCGTTCAGCCTGTCAAATGACCCCCACTCACGATGGCAGTGGCGTCATCATCTACGGTGGATACTCCAAAACTGTATGTGTTTTGGTGATTACTGTGATTTTTATTCATATACACTGCAATTGGTTCCTCAGATTTTACACTTATGTTAATCAATGAATTAATGTGACTTTTGAAAAATATTATATTAAATTTTATATTGAGTTTTTTTTTTTTTTGCATGGGTTAGATTTTTAGATTTTAAACTTTTGAAAGAAATTAGGCTAATACTTTTATCCAGCAAGGTTGCATTAAATGGATTGAAAGTGAGTTTACAATTTACAATGTTACCAAAGGTTTCTATTTCAAATGAATGCTGTTTTTTTTTAATTTTCATCAAAGAATTCCTTTCATCAAAGAAAAAAAAGTATAAAAAAAAGTATAATTTGTGAAAGTATATTGTTTTCACAAAAATATTAAGCAACACAACTGTTTTCAACATTGATAATATTAGCAAATGTTTCTTGAGCAGCAAATCATTCATATTGGAATGATTTCTGAAGAATCATGTGACACTGAAGACTGGAGTAATGACGCTGAAAATTCAGTTTTGCATCACAGGAATAAATTACATTTTATGTTCATTTTAATGGTATTTTATGTTATGTTAAATATGATAAAATATAAAACTGTTATTTTAATATATAATAATATTTCACAATATTGCTGTTTTTCCTGTATTTTTTCAGTTAATGTAGTTCATGAAATCAGTTTGGTGATTGTATTGTAATATCATGGTACTTTCGATCTATAGGTACTAAAAATACAGTGGTACTACTATAAATCATGTATAAAAAAACATGGTATTGCCATGGTATATGTAAAAACACTGTGGTAGTACTTTGTCCAATAAATCCTACTGATGTCCGATTGCATGAATAGCTAACAATAGTTTAATGTGTATGGCCATAACTATTTGTTGCATGCTCATGTAACAAAATACATAATATTAACAATTGAATTGAAGATGGTTAATTTTAGAGGCTTAAAATGGTGATATTGAACATCCTTCCTCCATCTATAGACATGTGGCCTTTCAGGTTAAAGCGTAATTGATTTAAAACTGTTCACGCTTTATATGTCCAGCTAACAATAGTTTAATGTGTATGGCCATAACTATTTGTTGCATGCTCATGTAACAAAATACATAATATTAACAATTGAATTGAAGATGGTTAATTTTAGAGGCTTAAAATGGTGATATTGAACATCCTTCCTCCATCTATAGACATGTGGCCTTTCAGGTTAAAGCGTAATTGATTTAAAACTGTTCACGCTTTATATGTCCATCATTAGTTAAGCTGTGTTACACTTAGCTTCATTTTGAAAGAGCATGTTGATGGTAACTGCAACTGCTCCACACAGAGAGCGAGATATTGTGTCATTTCCAGGAGCTTGTCCTTGAGTAAACAGACGTAGGTGGTAATGGCTGCCTTTCTTTTCCAGAGAGCAAAGAAGGATGTGGATAAAGGAACCATACATTCTGACATGTTCCTGCTGAGGAGGGAAGGCAAAGAGGAGCAAGGTACCATCATTTGAGCCTCTACGGTCATCGCTTGTTTAATGTGGGATGGTTTTCTCTCCATTTCCCTTTTTTGTTTGGACGATCCACTTTCTTTCCCATGTCTGAAAAAAGATTTGCTCATAATTTTTCGCTCCTGTCCTGCAGAAAAGTGGACGTGGATGCGAGTGAACCCTTCAGGAGTCAAGCCCCCTCCTCGGTCTGGCTTCTCTCTGGCAGTGGGCCCCGGGGGCCGGGCGCTGCTCTTCGGTGGCGTCTGTGATGAGGAAGATGAGGAGTCTCTGGAAGGAGACTTTTTTAATGACCTTTACTTTTATGATATCAGCAAAAACCGGTGGTTTCCTGCCCAGCTAAAGGTTTGGTGTTATGTTTTGCTTTAGTAAAGCCTCTTAATAAAGCCCAAAAAACATTCATATATACATTGTCTTTTTCTTGGTAGGGCAACAAGTCAGAAAAGAAGAAGAGGCGCCGTGGGAAGAAAGGAGAACAGACGAATGAAACTGAAGGGGAGAAAGAGGAGGCACAAGGTCCCACTGAGATTATTAAAGAGATCGTGGCTGAGGATGGAACAGTTATGACCATCAAGGAAGTGAGTCCAGCCGCACAGGCAGAGGAGGACAGTGAGGAGGAGGAGGAGGAGGAGGTTGACGAAGAGGAGGAGGCGGCTGCAATGGCTCCCCTGGTGGAGCCCTGTCCTCGCTCCAGCGCCATGGCAACGGTGAAGCACGGCAAGTTGTACTTGTATGGCGGAATGTTTGAGGTGGGAGATCGACAGTTCACACTCTGCGATCTCTACAGCCTGGACCTGCATAAGATAGACAAGTGGGATGTTCTAGTGGAAATGGACCCCAGTAAGTGGAAACACAGCCCAGAATTCCCTTATCTTCATTCAGGAAAATACTATCTATCTATCTGTCTATCTATCTGTCTATCTATCTGTCTATCTGTCTGTCTGTCTGTCTGTCTGTCTTGCTCTTTCGTCTGTTTTGCTGTCTGTTCTCTCATCTGTTTCACTATTTGTCCGTCCTTCTTTTGTCCGTTTTGCTATTAATTTGTCTGTCTGTTGTCCTTTCATCCGTTTCAATATCTATGTATCTATTGTCCTGCTGTGCTATTTGACTCTGTCTTGCTGCATGTCTGTCTATCTGTCTTTCTCTTTGACTATCTATATATCATTTGTCTGTCTGTCATCTTCTGTCTGTTTCTCTGACTGTCTATCTACCGTATCGACCGAAATTAAGAAATCTATCTTGATATCAATTTTGGCCATATCGTCCAGCCCTAATTGTTCGTTCTATTGATTTATCTATTTATCATCTGTTTGTCAGTCTGTCAGTTGGTTTCACTGTCTGTCATTTGTTGTAGCCATCGTTTGTTTGTCTGTCTGTTTCGCTGTCATTCTGCCTGTCGTTCTATCATTCGTTCTCTCATTTGTTCTTTCGTTCTATCTATATGCTGTATTGTAAATAGTTCTTTTGTGAATTTCAATGCTTTCCTTTTGTTAGGTGCTGAAAGATTTATATCAACCCTTTTTTTTCTGAGAATGACAAAAATTCTCATTGCCTGCTGTTTAAACTATAGCATCACATTTGAGTGTTCAGTATAAACATGTATAATATGTCAATGTATGTGGGTATTGCCACACTTGAGCACTGAATTCTCTTTACAGAGACTCAGGAGTGGCTGGAAGAATCAGAATCAGAAGATGAAGAAGAAGAAGCAAAGGGGGGTGAGGATGAGGAAGAGGGGGAATCCGAAGAGGAGAGTGAAGAAGGTCTGTATTTCGGAAGTGTCAATAATTTTGCAGTTCAGACGCATTTGTGACAGTGTCAAGTATTTAGATAGTAAGTTTAATATTTACTTTTTTTAATTTACAAAATGATGCCTATTTAAGAGATTCAAAGCCATCCATGAGGGTGGACACATACATTTTCATTTAATGTTCAAGGTCATGATTTGGGTCAGGTCCATGAGGTAGACATGAGCAGATCACAAAGGGTTTATCTGCCAAGTTTATCTGTCAACATCCACTGATTCTTTTTCGTTTTCGTTTTGCTTTGGGATCCTTCTCGCTTACATTCATTATTGTTAGATGCCTGTTTCGCTTGTCAGTTGTAATAACATCACTGATTGTTAGCTTATGGCTGCTTCATGGTTTGGTAGCATGCTAAACAAAGAGACTTTGTTGCCTCATCATCCACATCGGGGGCGTTTCGTGTTCAGAGTATCTCCATTTCAGTACTTCAGGTCCCGGATTTTACATTGGACATCAAGTGGCGATAACAAAGTTGTTTAGGAGAACCAAAAAGTTTTTAGATTTTGAAAGAGAGCAGAAATAGTAATCTGGACCGGTGTTGACATTTTCTCTGTATCTCTCTGTCAGATGCAGACCATCCTCCAGTAAAGCCTGGAGAAGCGCTTGCGGATTATCAAACACGGACTGAGAAGTACTGGCTGGGTCTGGCCCGAGCCAACATGGGTCCTGATGCCAAAGAGAAGAAAGTACAAAAGGTCGGCCACGCCATGGCCAAAGTGTTCTTTGAGGATCAGGAATGAGATTAAATGTGTGTGTGAGTATGTGTGTTTGAGAAGATAATTAAAGTGTTTGTTTGTGATAAAGAGAATGGATATGTGTTATCATATATATTAGCAAGCTGTGTGTGTGTCTGAAAGTGTACAAAAGAGAATGAATGGATGACGTTTAATGTTTAAAAAACATGGCCTTACTCTTTTCTCACTATTTTGTCATGTGTTTTTTATTATTAATAAGGGAAGCTGAACCTCAAAGTAGTTTCATTATTTGCATTAAGCATAGTTTTTTTCCTGCTTTCCATAACTCTTTCTAATCAGACTCGGAAGGAAACGCCTTAGGTTGTGACCACTGCTCTAAATCGTACTATGTTAAGCAAAATTCCATAATATTTGATCAAATTATTTTATTATTTAGTGCAAGCAAATTGTTTACTACTTTTTTTGAGCTTTTTCAAAGTTTTGTCTTTGAGCTGAAGAAAGCTAAAGCCGATGGCCAAACGGCAATCACAGTTTCCAAATGAATGGTGCCTCCCACATTTACCTATTTTTTTTGTTGGCTGTGAAGAATGAGCGATGTGGAAAGAGAAGCTAATGAATAATAAATGGCAGATAGAGAAATGGATGAGGTTACGATTATGCAGCCAACTGTCTCTCATCTCCCCTCTTTCTCTCTCCATCTCGCCATCTTTTTTTTAGATTCTGAATTTCTTTTTTTAAAAAGACAGAGTTTATAAATAACTAAAAAGTCACCATTTTTACAGCCCTGCTCTGACGTGCTGAAGCACGTGAACCTGTTGTCGTCAGAGACGCATCAGAAGTGTGTGTGTGTGTGTGAGAGAGAGAGAGAGAAAAAAGACAGCGAGAGGGAGAAACTGGGACAGATTTGCTAGTTCTTTAAGATTTACTAAGATGTTTGTAGGTCACGTTACTTCATTGATTCCATTTATTTACCTAGTGGCTGTCCTTATGACCTCATTAGTCTGCTGAACCAATCAGAAAGAGAGTTTGATAAAAGACAATTTTTCATAATTGAGGCATGACTAATTCTATAGCTTGGGGACACGTTACCTCACATTATCTAATTTGTTTGGACAGTTTGAAAAGGCTGTAAATGGAGCCATTTAATGATCTTTTACTGACCAAAGATGTAACAATGAAGTTTCAGAAAGAACTGATGCAGTAGACTCTTGCAAAAATATTTATATCTTTTGATTTTAGGATGATATATATATATATTCAGCAAGGATGCAGTAAATTGATCAAAAGTGACTGTAAAGATATGTATAATGTTAAAATAAGTATATATATATGCAATAAAATGCAACCTTGGTGAGCATGAGACTTCTTTCAAAAACATTAAAAAATCTTACTGACCAATATATTATCTTTTTTTTTTTTTTTTGCATTGCATGGTTATGATAAATACATTCATTACCCTATTGCAAAAAATCTCATTCTTATTACGGTTTTTAAATTCCTACGTTGTCATATTTGACATACTGATTTAAAATGATTTTACTACAGCATTATTTCACTTTATTAAAGTAAAATAAAATTTTTTGCTCATTAATGTAATTTGAAACATATTTCCATTACTTAAAAATTTCTTGTACATCTCTAAATTATGGTAATTTTTGTTGCTCTGCCTTTAAACTATGCTGTTTTAAATAAAATAAAATAATTGTATTACAGTGTAATATTGTATTATGTTTCACTGTAATACAGTTAAAAAATGACACTTAGAGTAATGAAAATCTCTTGAATATTATTAAGAATCATGAGAGTAAATGGGAGCATCTAGACATGTATGGAAAAAAAAGTAAGCTTATTTGTCATGAAAAAAATTACATTAAAAAAAAAAAACCTTAATGATAGGCCCAATTTTCTTTATGGTTTGATCTGAGGTGACCTGGAAATGTTTTTGTGAGCTTTGTCTAGGCCCTATATGATGTTAGGGTTGTTTTGAGAACTCTCTCTCTCCTTCTCGGCGTCCGTCTTACCAATAGATTTAAAGAAATCACCCATAATCCTCTTCTAGTGCTGGGACAAGGCTGAACTCTACACTGTGATTCTGTTACAGTAATCTCTGGCGAAATTGGTTTAACTTCCTAACAGACATCCACTCAACAGACAGGCAGCCTGTCAGACGCACTTTTTTGGTGGAGGGGAGACAGAGGCAGTCATTTAAAAATGCCACCGATGCCCAGTAGGGTCAAAGGAAGTATACTGGTGTAATGTCATTAGAATTCAAGGATTCAAAGGGAACAAGGCACGTCTTGACTCAGTGTTGCCAGATCTTGCTAGAAAAAAACTGCAAAAATGAACCGTTCCTTAATAAACACTTTATCTTGGAAATAAGACACATAATATCTCAAACTTTATCTGCCTACTTTATTAAATCCATAATTGGATTGCTTAAATGAGCCAAGCTCAACAACTCTTAATAAGGGTTGCTTATAATAAGTTGACATGGAAAAAAACATTGCTATGGTTACCATGGTGTCAATAACAGCAACTTCAGGAGTGATTTGTGTTTCATTCACACTCAAATTGATAATTTAGGTTCGCGAAATGCAAGTGCAACGGTCAAACAAGTCCGTCTAGTGTGTTTACATAGAAAATTAATGGAAAAGTGGAAGCGCAGTGGAATGAAAAAGTGCATTCTGTGTGAACGACCCCTTAAATTATAGTCTGGTTCTTGTACTATAGAAAATGAATTTTTGGACAACTTTTATGATACTGTTATGGAGATTTTTTTTTTTGCCGTTTGACAGACCCAGTTCCCTTTTTTGTGTGTGTGCGTTTTGTGTGTGTGTGTGTGTGTTCCACAGAACAAGGAAAGTCATACATGTTTGGCGTGACATGAAGGTGAGTACATAAAAAGAAAGTCAAACTATTCCTTTCAAATTGAGAGGTTTTGCACCCTTTTGAGTCAGTTATAGGGTGGATTTTTATGCTTATTTGTAAGCATTCCACCTCATGCTTCAGTGATGTGAGAATAGGAGAGATGACGTGGGGTTAGTTTCTACAGGAGAGGACAAGACAAGGACATGAGAGAGACTTTGAAGATGAAATGAATTGGCCTTGTGCCCTTGCAGACTGTATTTCATATTTTCAATGCATTTAAATTTTTTTACTCGCAATCCATCAAGTAGATTCATTTACATTTTTGACAGTCTTTGTGGAGGACGTCCTGACAGGGCTGTTTTTTCCTTCAAAATAATCCTCATATGTGTGCAGTGATAGAGGCCACACCCCTATTTTTTGGCATGCTTGAAAACAATTCTATATGAAAGTTGCTATAGTGATGGCACACTCTCACCAGGGAAATCTCAATGCTTCACCTATTTGTCTGTTTTTATTTGCTGTCATCTGCACTGAGAATCTTGCATCATTTTCACTCTAACTTAAATACAAGGAGTGAATCTTAACCTGTGAAAAACATGCCATATTTTACCCCAAAATCAAATAATTATATTTTGAAAGAAAACAAAGGACTATTATTTTTTTCCTTTAAAATTGTCATTACCATCTGAGTTTTACTTTTTTTTTTTTACACAAAATCTTGTTATTACAGTATTTGTTTTACTTTTTTACTGTACTTTATTACTGTAAAAATACTGTAATACGATTTAAAAAAAAATTAAAATCCAGATAAAAATTATATGATTTCTATCTTCTGTAAATGCATCGGAACCAGACAAATTGTTACTTTGGTAACAGATATGGAGAAATACCGAAAGGCCAAAAAAAAAAAAAAACAGACTCAATAAACACAACAAAAAGGCCAAAAAAAAAAAAAAACAGACTCAAAAACCACAACACAAGAGCTTACTTTCAAACACTTTCATTATTTTCTCCATATAACTCAGAAAGAATCAGACCCCCAGGAAAAAAGTAAAGAACTGAATGATAGAGAAAGAGAGAGAGAGATAAAAGAACTGGGCATGCTTGGGCATGCTATAGGCGCATAGGGTGACGGATACATCCAGGTCAAACGGTACAAGTGCCGGCGGTGTGGGTCAACTGCAGCAATTTCCTGCTTCAAAAACCCTTTGGAATCCCACCATCCCCGTCACACACAGTCGTTGTGGTATCAAAGTGAGCCAGTCAGCGAGTTTGTGAAGTTCTTGGACCAACCCAAGGACCCGAGTTGAGCAAATGTACAACTCCATACATTTGGGTCCCTAGCTTGTGTTTCTGTACATCAGCATAGTTGTCATTTGTACGTTTCATTTTTCTGGTCTTTTTTTCCCGGCTGGATAGAGAAACGGAGAAATATGGGGAAGGAAGGGAGGTGGGCGAGAAAGAGGGAAAAGAGTACACAAACTGTGAATGAATCATTGCCAGGAGGACAGACTCAAGGGGGAAAGTACAAGCCCATACACACATGCTATAAAAACATCTCAATCTTTGCGTTCTGTTAGCTGGCTATAAAAAAATAAACAAAACACCTCTCTTTGATTGTTTGTTTCACTCGTTTTAGTTTCGTCTTCTGATTTTGGGGAGGAAAGGCTGCTGGATGCCAAGACCAGCACTTGGACCACGAATTCATCATTGGCATGCCCGATCAGACCTGTTCCATTGTGTATCATGGCGTTGGCCAATAAGGTAAACGATTTCAACACACTCTTATGACAGTTTGTAGGTATGTTGGTGAATTGGTGGTGAATTTGTCCAATCTCATTCGTAGGATCTGCTTACGTTCCTTTGAGGTGCGTTCTCATGGTGAAATTTTACCTACAAATGCTACGTTTTTCGTACAAGTCAGATCGTACAAAATCACCAATTCGTACAATCGTACAAATTCGTACAATCTCACAAATTCGATTAGAATGTGTCGAACAAGTCCAAATTAAATTTTACATTATTTATGCCGCATCCAAAACTACTAGCACACTTTTCCGTACGTTTTTTTTCCCCGATAAGGTTATCTATACAAAACTAAAACATACGTTAGCATGCAACATGTTTTTTTTTCATTTACTTTTAGAAAAACAAGGCAGTCGGCATTTTTCAGACGTCTTGCAAATAGCTAAAAAAGTTTTTTTTTTTTCCTTTTATCAATAAATATTTGTTTTTTTAAAAGCAGCAGTTGGGAAAAAAAACGTTAACAGTCTCTTGAATGTCTGGTCGGGAACGCCAGCATCTCACGCAGCATGTGGCTTTCAGGTGTGCATGGTGAGGTCGGCAGGTGCTCGCACGTTCTCGTCATTTCATCAAAGAGAGTTAGGGGGTGCTGTAATGATGATGAC